TACCTCCGCGCCCAACGGAGGTCATGTAATCGCGGGTCTCGTGTGTCGTGGTTCCACGTGTCGTCCTTGTGCTGTAGCGTTGGGCCGCGATCCGACTTCCAGCCCAGCAGCGTCGCCGTGTAGGGCGTCACAGTCAGCAGCTCGCCACACTCATTCCCAACTAAGACGGTGCGTCCAGTCAGCAGCCGACAGCAAGCGCAGCCAGACTGCTTAACAGCATACCATGCTTACACCCGGCCTCGCGGCAGGTACTGCCACTCTCCGGTGGGGAGTGCCCCGTCTGTCTAGGTTAACTACCACTGTCTGACCAGGCTCCGAGCGGCTATAATTTGCCTACCAAGAATACTTTTCGGTTATTATCACCGCTCCCCAACACCCAAACCACTGCGAATGTCTACATGAATGCTCTGGCTCTGCTCACGCTCACATACATGCAGCATAGCACGCGCACCGCGAACACACACACACACCATTGCCACGCCATACACGCACGCGAACACACCAGCCACACCACACGATGCACGCATTACACGCACGACGCGGAACACCGCGAACACACGTATACTACCCACTCCCCTAATCTTCAATAGCGGCCTGGCAACTGCCAACCCGTCTATATGCCAGCTCTGGCTCTCTATATGCGTGCCTTCTCTGTTCTATGTGCTCTCTGTCGTCTCTGCGGTCTCTGTGCTCTCTGTGTCTCTGTGTCTGCTGGTCTCTGTGTTCTCTGTGTCTCTGTTGGTCTTCTGTGTCGTCTGTTCTCTGTGTCTCTGTGTCTCTGTGTCTCTGTCTCCTGTCTTCTGTCTTCTGTCCTGTGTGTCTGTGTCTGCTGTCTGTTCTGGGTGTCTCTGATCTCTGCTCTCCTTTTGTCTCTTCTCTCTCTCTCTCTACTCTCTGTTCTGGTCTGTCTCCTGTCTGTTCTGCTTCTCTCTTCTCTCTCTCTCTCTCTCTCTCTTTCTTCTCATTCTCTTTGTCTGTCTCTCATCTCTCTCTGCTCTCTTCTCTCTCTCTCTCTCTCTCTCTCTCCTCCTGCTTCCTCCTCTCTCTCTCTCTCCTCTCTCGTCTTCTCCTCTCTCTCTATCTCCTCTCTCTCTCTCTCTCTCTCCTCTCGCCGCTCCTCTCTCTTCTCTCTGTTACGCCTATGGTCTGTGTTCTAGGGCGGTTGCGCTCTTCATTTCACCTGCTATCTTTTTTTAATATTCTCGTAACTAGAGGAATATCAAAACCTTTGAAATATTTAATTGAGATGTAACGAAACATAGTTAATGTATTATCTCTAGCCACCACCATCACTAACACATTTTAATTTTATAGCCTAATATAGCAGCTAGCTAATGTGTATTGAAAGCAGAAAACCCCATTTGCAATAAAAACAATTGCGTGGGGAAGGTAAACATTGAGTTAAGTGGCATGCTGCATTGGCTCGAAACCATTGCTAATATGCTAGCAGTACCTAGTGAAATAGCCTGAGTAAACTGGTGAGATTAATTACTTTATGTTATCATGTAAGCCACGCACATACATGATACTGTGGTGCACAACAGAACTAAATCGGAACCAAAGCAAACATCACAATTAAACCTCAGGGCGAGTTTAAACGAATTCTACGCATGTAGCTGACCTAGATTTTGCATCCTGATGCATACAATCATTTGGAATTTACATATAAATCTTCAGGACAGACAGAGTGAAAAATGTGCTCTGCATTATAGAAACAGGATATATTAATATGAATAATCATTCTGAGCAGGCCTTCACGTTCCAGTTATCAATTTTACAATATAATTTTATCAGGCGTGAATAATAGAGATCTCTATATTATTCACTCCTGATTTTAGGTTAATTGTGAGTGCGGCAATTTGCATCATGGAAAAGTTGGCAGAGGCTTAAAACATGAGATTATTATATGCAAACAAATTTTCAATAAGTTGCGCCGTGAGAAAATTGATCCCCCCTTTTCAACCTCTTCATTCCTTACCACATTCCCAACTCAACTTAATCCCTTCTTTGACTGTACAGCTGTTCAACGACCTACTCTGCAAACTGCACAGTTGTGATCAACTTTGACCTCGCCTTTGACGGCGAATAACTTTTGTTCACGACCGTATCTCTCCCTGTAGTCTAGACAACATAATGGCAGAGTGACATTGAGCTTTTGATAACCATTCACTGCGTAAGGTCGAAACGGACCTGATTTAAAGGAGAAATGCACTGGTTTGTCCAACCCGTCATAGAAGAGGAAGCTTGCGCCATGCATTGTACTAACCTGCTTTGGAGCGATTTTAAAGCAATTTAACACGTGAAAGTTACTTCTTAAATGTAAACAGCTGTACACTTAAATTACAGGCAGGTTTGCTGACATGACAGCCGGTAGGGTACTGCATCCAGTAAGATTCCTCGGCCACTCTCTGCATTGACACATCTCCAGCTTGTCAAAAACGAGGGTTGCTACCTAGATGTGTTGCTGTGGTTTTCGGCAAGGCCACTCTGGTCACAGTGGAATTTGCCGCCTGTATGTGAACACCACTACGTGTACTAAATAGTTTTTGCGTACGAGGGAAAAACTTTATGTATGCTATAATTAGTGCATGTTATTAGTATAGATAATCGGTTGTAGATTAAAGAGAAAAAATAACAAAGTGAAACAAATGGTGTCTTACCCTAGAGGACTTATTCCATCTTCCACGCTTTCCACAGTGATATTGAAATCAACATATTCCAGACCTGGGAAGAACAGCAAAGACAAGTAATTATTCCTCTATATTCAGTCAACGTGAGATGGTAACAACTCACAACTATCTCAAACTACGTAGGAATCAAAAATGATTTTTAATCACCACATCGCCATCAAGAAGTCAATTAGGTCCTTACACTCCATTTATATACTATAATAAATAAATAAATAAATAAAAGAATAAACAAATATATATAGTCTCTATTATCCACTCCTGTATATATATATATATATATATAATATGGCACCCTGATGATGATGATGATGATGATGATGACGATGATGATGATGATGATGCCGATGATGATGATGATGATGATGATATATAATAGTATGAAGTGGATGATAAAATGAGTGTGCAGTCTTACGTGGGTTGGCGGACCGCCACGCTGTTGCTAGGCGTTGCAGCACCAAATCCTCGTCATAGTCAAACAGCTGGATACCTGTGAGACGCAGCACCTGACCTCGAAGCAGGACAGGTAGTCCAGCACCCTACAAACACCCGAGTACATCATAGCAGTGCAAGCGCTGGAGCAACAGCAACATATATGCAGGGTTGGCACAGTGGCGTAGCTAGGATTTTTTCAGCGGGAGGGAGGGGGCACTGGGGGGGGGGCTTACATTTTCGTAAGGGGAGGCACAATATATAACTTTTCTTTGTATTATACTGTTCTAACGGCATTGTTTTTAATTCAATTTTTTTTTTATCAAGCATGAATTTTCAGTGGGGGGCACCTGGGGGGCATAGAAAATTTGTAGCTACGCCCCTGGTTGTCCAGCCACCTACAAACACCCGAGTGCACATAGCAGTGCAAAACCTGGAGCAACGGTGGAAATTAACACATAGACCTGGCAACACGATCAGGAGCATTATGTACAGAAGATAGCATACGTGCTTTTGAAATTTTATTTGCCAAGTGTAACCCCAGTTGGAATTTAGAAATTGGTGCAGCTGAACAGCAGAGACGATTAAACAGAGCAAAAGGATGAGATGTAATCATGAATGGATAACAAAAAAGTTGTTTCAGGAGAGAATGCAAAAATACACATTGAACAATTGAAACGTTTAATTTCACACTGTGAGCAAGTGAACATTCATGGAGCTTTTCTTTTGCAACTGCCTGGTTCTGAATTGTATACATATATAAACTATTCATCTTGGATAAAATTTGCACACTAATGCAGTGAATTGTTCTGGTTTAGTCCCACATGTATGAACACACAGGTTAAGTAACATTAAATTATAATCAATAAACACCTGGCGAAAAAAAGGAGCAAAAGGATGAGATGTAATCATGAATGGATAACAAAAAAGTTGTTTCAGGAGAGAATGCAAAAATACACATTGAACAATTGAAACGTTTAATTTCACACATATTATACAAACATTATGGTAGCTATGTATACGTACCAATGTGGCAGTAGATGTAGGTAACACTGGTGTTGCGTATATTGTGCTACCTGTAATAACAAACAAATTTCAAAAATGTACAACACAGCAATAAAGGAGATAACACATTATTCAGTCACTAAATATATACAAAGCATGGTTTAGTTTGGGACGGCAAGACCTTACTCCTCCTGATAAATATTTAGACTATGACAACAAGTTTATGTCGGCAAAATTATGATTTAATTACACCGCAATATTTACACCCAATTTAAGGACACGTCAAACTGGCAATGACATAATTTGTGTAATTATAGTACGTGGTAGTTATACTTATAAGTCCACTGAAATCCTTACAGTACTTTGCAGTAATAAGGTTGATCAGTAAATAATTATTACCATATGGTATCACAAAACCCGAAGGCAGATAACAATGTGCCAAGGAAGCTATACACGGATAATTATACAGTCAGGATTCAGTGAGTCTGCATTCAAACTCCACAAACGAAAATTGCATTAATTATGTTTTAATCATCATATATAATTATTACAAAAATTATAATAAAATAATATTATTAGTTATATAAAATCATGAATAACAAATATATGTCACCTACCAAATTCATCTGTGTGAGATGGGAAAAGAGGGGTGGCTTCCATTGACGGCTTCACTGTGGTTGTGTAATAACTTGTCACATATTCCGGCGCCAGCGTACTTGTATGAACTCTGCAAATTGAGATGAGTGATGGGTGTTTACATAAATTAGGAGTGAATAATAATAGATTATTATAGTAATAGATTATTCACTTAGATCTATTATTATTCACTCCTGACAAATTAATTAACTGTTACACCGTTATTGTTCTATATTTAATAAAGTAAGCATCTCTGAAACAAGTCAGCAGATACAAAACATTCAACTTTGCCACTATTGAAACTCTCATTATGAAAGTTCTATAGTCAACTATTAATCAGGCAAACACACACATTCTACTTGATTGATTTATATTGTATACTAATCCTTGATTGATACTGCTTGTCGATCCCTGACAAATACTAGCACAGTACATGCAGATTAAACTTATATATGTAGTATTCGAGCATATTCACCAAATTCTCATATATATATAACCTTCGCTATTGAATTACAGACAACAGTATTTGACAATTACACGAAAGTGGACCCACATCTAAAAATATGCTAAAATTAGAGGTCACATTCATCCTGAGAATGCCTTCAAACGCAATTAATGCATACTTCGTAACGTAGGACGGCTGTATCGTGCTCGTAAGCGTGTTTGTCAGATAGATGGTTCGTGGTTGCACCGTGGAGTAGACTGTCTCTCTTCGCTCCGGCAACCCGATGGTACTTGTCAGGTAGCGAGTACTTCTCACACGCGGCGTCTGCCTCGGACCCGGCAACTTGATCGTACTGGTGAGATAGCGCGTGCTTCTAACGCCCTCTGTCTGCCCCGGCAACGTGATCGTACTGGTGAGGTAGCGCGTGCTTCTCACCGCGAGGGTGCTGGTCAGGTAGCTCGTGATGACGTTGGGCTGGAGGATGCGGTCGATGTAGCTCACGTAGGAGATGGTCGAGTACTCGACCGGCCCGCGTCCCGGCGTTCCCACAGTCGAGTACTGCACGTAGGTGTCCGTGTACTCACGCACGAGCACCCGCCTCGTCACGCCGTTCTCCACCACCGTGCTCGTCACGATCCGACCGCCCGGGAGAGGCTGGGTCGGTCCGATTTGGGACGGATCCAGCGACCCGAGACCCGGGATGAGGAGATCGCCTCCTCCCTTGCCATCCGTCGTCACGAACCTCGTCTGGAACTGGCGCGGGACCCGCGTGGGGGTCGCGCGCGGCGCGCCCCGGTCGGCAAAGTCGATGAAGATCTCGCCGTTGAGCGGGTCGTAGATGCTCGCCTCGGGTTTGCGGAAGCTCGTGTAGTAGCTGGTGTAGTAGCGCGTCGGGTCGACGTGCGCGACGTTCCCCTCGGCGAATCGCTGCCCGCCGCCAACGAGGAACGTGCTCGTGAGGAAGCGCGTGGCGCAGTCGCCGCCGGCGTGCCCGCTCGCGCAATCGTAGCACTGCGCCCCCTGGTGGTTCGTCGGGCAGACGCAGCGGTAGCCGAAGATGTGGTCGGAAACGCATGTCGACCACGGCGCGCAGGGGTTGTCGGCGCAGGTCATCGACAAGTGGCAGACTTCTCCGCGCAGGTGGATGGGGCATGCGCAGACGAAGCCCTGGGTCCTGTCCGGCGAGCAGGTGCCACCGAATTGGCATGGTTGATCCGCGCACGTCTTCCTGGTTTCGCATCGCACGCCCTTATAGTTGAAGGGGCAGTGGCAAGAAAACCCTCCGAAGCCGTCGTCTTGACAGATCGCGCCGTTTCGGCAAGGCCTGTCCGTACAGGCGACACGTGTGTCACACGTGTAGCCGGTGTAGTCGGGCTTGCACTCGCAAGAGAAGCCGAAAGCTGTGTCAACGCAGACTGCTTCATTGTGACACGGTGTACTCTCACAGGTCAATCCACGGGCCACACCAGCGCAATTTCTCCCATAGAACCTGGGTAACAATCAAACCATTCACAGTGCTTACTGTCATGTAATTTAAAATTAAACAAGGTAATTAGAGAACGTTACAGCAACCGTTATAAACCAGCGGCATCAAAAATAACCTAATTCGATCAAATCTCTTGGACTTTGATGTCTAATAATGTAATATTTACGTGTTGTAACTCACCCTGGGATACATTCGCACCGGTACGACCCTGGCGCCCCCTCGTAACAGGTACCGCCGTTTCTACAAGGTCGTCTGGCACATTCGTTTATGTTGGTCTCACAGTGACGTCCAGTGAAGCCCACGGCACAGCAGCAGCTGTACGAGCTGGAGCCGACGCCCTGAAGCACACACGTGCCCCCATTCTGGCACACATCACCTGCAAAACAGCACCATGCATCTATATAAATCTTTAGTTATTCAAATGGGTGGGTGTAGCATGCTGCTGGTAAACGCGGGTGTGCTGCTGGGTGTGGTGGTACGATAAAGAGCTATGAATCTGATTTACACCACACAGAAACGCGATTTCTTACTTTTACAATGTGGCACGTTATTGCACGTATAGGTGGAATAAGTATATATAAAAATAATAGACATAAAGGGAATTGCCATCATAAGTCAACATGTACGCAAACCACTGACGCGGGTGTGACACACAAAATGTAGGTGTGGGTTAGTCGGACTCCCTAAGTCGTTCAGAATTATCAACAGCCACAGTACAGAGACCTTTGTTGGCATCAGTCTCGGTTTGAATTTTAAGTTGGAAGTTTCTGTGTTAAGAGCGACACAATTTACTACGAGTTGATATAGGCTCTTGATTTGACCCGCAATTGATTTGCGCGTCAGCAAAAAAACTACCTACATTAATCGATGATGTATTGTGTCAACTTCATGTTATTCGTGGTTTAAAAGCTTTGTTTTAAAACAATAACATTAGTATTCAAAGGCAACAATAATAGAAAATATATGATTCGATATCCGCACATTTATATAATAAATCTAATAACTCAATATCATCATATAATATATACCAATTACGCTTTTCAATGCACTGCAGATGAGATAATGGTTGGATGGTTTACAGATATAACACATTTATTAGGTTTAACTAGAGAAAACCTGTCTATACAATACAGCCCTGCGGAACTATGCTAGCTTGGCTCTCGAGACAGATTGTGGCCCTGAGCTATTGTAATGCCGCTTATAACAAATAATGTCTTATATCTATACGCAGCGCCAAAATGCACTAAAGCAATACAGCTAGGAGGATCCGGGGGAGGGGCCCGCCAGTTCCACATGAATACCCAATCCCGGACCCCTCCCAGCAACTCAACCTACAATCCTTTTTCCAAACTGTACACATTGTCTCCGGGTGAATTTGAGCGCTAAAGAGACTCCCCACCCCCCTAATTGCTGATAAAAGTACCACCCGGACCCTGTTATCAGGGGCGGATTCAGACCGTATTTGCCGTATTGGGAAATACGGTCTAGATTTCAAAGTGCCCTTCGAAATTTTGCGCTCAAACAATACAGAAAACAATTTGATGGAGTTTGGCTATATTCTTTATTTGTTTTCTTTTTCTTCTGATTCATTGACAGGACTTGAAGGAAATCAAAATTTTACATGGTACGTAACAAAACTAGCTTTGATATCTGAAAAAGAAGGAAAGTGCTTGAATCATTCTGCATTAATTTCTGGTATGCAAAGCGCAGGCAAAATGAAGCAGAAATAAAATTCAATATGGTTTTTAGCTATTGCTGCTTGACTAAATGTGTGCTCAAATGGTGCTCATTTTTGTGCCCAGGTACCCTTGAAATTCTGAAACCCTAACCCTTACGGCGCCCACTGTGGGGTGGTGTGCCCTTTTTGGGGGGTGTGCAGAGGCGGATCTAGGTTTTAACTAAGAGGGAGGTTTACCTGAGGTGATTGGCCTACACACCCCAGCGTGCCGAAGGCACGTTTTGCTAGGGGGTCCGGGGCAGCCCAAGGGGGGGGTTAAACCCCCCCAAAAAAACGTAAATCTGCCACTGATGTGCCCTTAAAATCTAGAAAAATACTGTCTAGCTTCCGCCCTGGATCCGCCCCTGGTTATAGTAGCTTAATTATATGGGACTCTCACGATTTACGTAGCAGAGTGAACACTCGATCCTTTGCACATTCCTGGATCCGCCCGTGTAATTTATATAATTATAATTATTAATTAATTTATATGTGTTTTAATGGCATCCTATTACGAATGCTTGGCTGAGGCTGGTTACTAGAGCTGAGAAGGTCTATGTCCCCCAGGGTACCGCCGGAACGTACCCAGATATTATTATATCCCGGACCGTACCTCGCCTACTCCACTAACCCTAACCCTAACCCTAACCCTAACCCTAACCCTAACCCTAACCATATCAGATAGTTACCAGGGTACGTTCCGGTATACCGGACCGTACCAAGGGTGCGTTCCGGCAGTACCCTGGGGGACATAGACCCTATGAGCGTTACGCGAGCTAGCGCAGTTGATTACTGTTTATGTCCTGGGCACAACAAATCATCAATCCACAGTGTTGAATTATTTATTTGATAAACTCTGTCTCGCTCCGTATACGATATATTCTCACTGGACTTTGAGGACAGATCATTATGACTCTGAGTTAACTTATTTAGTTATTAGGCAGTTGACCATCGCCATGGGTAAATCACCATTGTGACTGTCAATGTAATAGTATCTGAATTTTACAGTGGGGTGGCGATTGCCCAACCCTCGCCCACGCTGGCTACGGCCTTTTATATAAACGTTTACTACTTTTAAAAAGCCATATTTTCGAGAATTATCGATATCTAGTGTTTTCCCCATTTTCGGATTCGGCGTTTCTTAGCAAGAATCTCGCAAATATTCCTTTAACTAGAAAAATGGAAAGCCCGCAGAATTGACCGGATATGTAAACGAAAGTACATGCGTCAGTCTAACGTACATGGATATATTTTGGGGGGTATATAACTATTAGTATAATGGGAAAGTATAATGCGATCAGGATAAAACTTATTGTTGTTTTTTCACTTGTAGGATTATACATTGACATTGAAGACTAATCGTTACGAGGAGATTACGAGGTTACGAAATGGCGATGACTGATGGAAACCCGATACAATTTGCCTCATTCCGCTCACGATCCGAAATAATCGCCGCACGGACCTTGTGACCTCTGCCACAGCCTAGCATGCATTACAATATATATGTGTATACATATAGATATATATCTATTTATACATATAATATGATTTATATATATATATATATTATACGCGTGCTAGTATATAAGACAAATTCACCGGTCTATGGTTGTATTGTAGTAGATATATTCGTACCTCCTCCCGTACCAGACCATACAGAATCCTTAGTAATGTTTTTTGTACTAATGTTACTCGTAAATCGTAATTCCCGTATATCACTGAATGTAATGGCAATAGTAGTGACATAAACAACTAGCAAAATTAAAATCACCCCCTCTGATGGTGTCACCTAGTATTTATATATAATATAACGGACATCTTTAGCTCCTCGCGATACCTTGCGCGACCTAAATACTGCATGTTGAGATTTAATTCGGTAATGACATGTCAACCTTCCTTTTGCTTACGGCCGCTGATGCATGCCAATTACATGGTCGAGCATTTACCTATTGAAAGCTACCCTAATGACCCCAAGGGAAAATTATGCGTAAAATTCAGTTTGAGAACGGTGAAGTCATGAATGTATGTGGGCGCGTGTGCACGCAAATGCGTGTTTCTGGTTGGGCGAGGGTGCGTGTGTGCGAGTGGCGCGTGCGTACGAGTAAGTAAGCGTATTTGCTTCGTTTATTCTGGTAGGCTTCAATGCCACGATCCCGATACCGAGTGAAAATCTTTCAGCTAGGCCATTTCTGTTAATATCAATCTATTAATTTTTTATAACATTTTTGACGCATTTTAAGATCCGACGACAAGAACTTACAACCTCAAAATCAACGTATAAACGTAGCTGGGCTGCGACTACCATAAATAAAAGTCGATTTAACGATTTCTTTAGTTATATTCCCACTACAGGTTTTTATAGGATTCATCTGCCCTTGCAATTCACTGCTTTCGAATGGAATTATGAAACCCATAATATATTAAACTAGATCTAGAGTCGAGCTTCGCTTCTTTTACATATATATCTGCTAATATAACGTAATGTCCAAGATCACAGAGACACTGGGCGCGAAATATTGGTCGAAGCATGAATCCGTGTAAGCGTTTCATAGTTTAGTGGTTCAAGGAGAAAGGCTTGCTGATCGATTGATTATGTATTTTTTAAGTGCACTGCCAGGGCCGTAGGCTGAGCAAATGCTTAGGGGGGCAGTTAAGTGGCGGGTGCCGGATTTCAAGGAGGGTGTGAGAAACAGGTGGGCCCGGGGTTTGGGCCCCCAGAAAATTGTAAAAATGTAGATAGCAGGAGGTGGTATTTGAGGCACTTTTGAGTACATGTACAGCCTTCATTCTGACTACGACAATTCTCTTTTAGTAGAACAATTTATTTTTATTTTTTTGCCCCAAAATCTAAGTGGGGCAGCTGCCCCCCTTGCCCCCCCCTCCGCAGGCTACGGTCCTGCACGGGAAGTGACAGCAATGTTCATAGCAATGTTGTCGTTATATATATACGTATCGCATGTCGATTAATGATTTTTTAAGTACGGGTTGCTATATAATGAAACACTCTTATAGTGATTACGTTTGAAAGGGAAAGTTGGGGCATGATATACAGCATGTGTAAATACACAAGGCCGTAATATGGAGCACCCTTTTATATATATTTATAAGGCTACAAAAACATTTATTCTGTTAGATAGACATAGCTCTATCCATTTACATTGCAACTGCAAGAATTAAAGCAGATTCGAGCAGAATCGATAGCCAGTACATATAATACTGGCAGCGGCACTAATGACAACGATAATTTATTATCATTTCTTATTCGACCGTATGCCTCCTTCGTTTATTTCACGTTTATTTGCCATGTTGACTGTCCCCACTACCATGCAGTGTATTTCAGGCCGCGTATTTCACAAGGCCGCGTAGGGCCTCGTATTTCACGTAGAGCCTGTGCATGAGTATAATTCCGGTAAGCTTAGCGTTAGAGTTGAAGTTAAGCTAGATTTAACGTTCGAAATTACCTTACAGATAAAAAGCCATTTTTGAGCGTAGAGCGGTTTCTGCTGTTGTGGGTCATCGTTGCAGTTCGCATGGCGTTCCCTAGGTGTCGCAGAACATGCTAATGTTTTGCTCGCCACTAATAAATGTAACGTGACAGCCGCTATTCATGTCACGTCAATCCTTATTTGCTTCCATTGTCACAGCACATAACCTGGGGT